GTCACACCTGCCGCTGAAAGAACATACTGGGAACGAATCTCAGATATGTGGCAGGACACGAACAACAACAGGGATATTGATATCCGTCTGTTTGTTTCAGTCAAGCAGTACTATTCAACTTTCTCTAACCTTGACCTATGGTTGGGTCCCACTGACAAAGATTGGCATAGCCCACTGGGCTTCACGATACAACCAATCCTTACAAAAGGGAAACACAACCGGTCAGATGCCCAGGTCCAGAAAATCGCTGACAAGCGAAAGGCTTACAAGCAGCGTAATGCTGAATACTGGGGTTACAACGATTCATTCGTTTACTCATCCGGCAACAGCTGGTACGACAAATCGCAACCATCAGGTAGCCATCACAGATATGGAAGATTCTGGGAGTGGCCACAGCCTGAACGTCCCAGCGAGCCTGAAGGTCCTCCTCCAAGAAGGAACCAGGAATCATCGTCCTCTTCACAACAAGATCTACCAAGATCAAGGTCCAGGCCTCAAAGAACCAATATTGTTGACAAGCTCAACATGTCTTTGGAAGAGCTGGATGGACTAGAAGAAGAACCGTCACCGACAAAAAGTGACATCGAAGAACACGAAAGAGAAACATCAAACTTGATGTCTGCTCAGAGAGATGAAGAGGAACAAGAGGACGAATCCTCCAGTCGGAGAAGAAGAAGGAAGGCATCGCGTCCACCGTCTGCTCCGAGCGGCAAGGCACTCAGAACAGCTGCTACAGCAGCGGGGTTGTCGGGCTGGTTCGGACACCGCAACCGAGGTGGAGCAAACGCAGAGTCTACCAAGACTGACGAGACTTCACTTCCAGACTCACTAACCAGTGAGCAAGACTTCTCCGTCTTCAGCATCACGTGGAATGTGTTCCTGCTGCTAATGGGCTTACACTGGATGTGGAAGCAGATTACCAGGCCTCCTATTAGATGTATGGAGCGCCAGCAACCAAAATCAAGAGCAGCAGCGAACCAAAGAGTTCCATTCCTCGAACCCGAGGACGAACCGCAGACGCGTGAACCTTTAGGACCCAACAGGGTTAACTCCGGAGAAACAACCGATCTGCGACCTATTTGGCATACTTCCCGAAGCGAAGTCTACCATCTCTCAGACAGCTGTTACCAGCTCAAACAAGCAAGAGATGTCTGCAGGAAGGTGCTGTGCAAAAACTGCCTTCATGCAGTACAAGTTGCGGAGATTCGCAGGAATGATCCTTTCCAAAGAGGTGATACACGACCACGTGGCACCGAAAGAGATATTGAGCGCTTCCAGACTTACGATGATGCAAGTAACACTCCTCACATGACACAATTATTCCAGGATGCCTTGCATGCACAAATGGCCGAGGAAGCCATGCAGATTACCTACACATCGATCCCTAAGGGATCCACGGCAAAGGCCAGAGGTACATCTGCACTCCCAAGTGCCGCATCGTCATCAGCGCCCAAGGCAATGCCACCAGGGCCTAACAAGGCTAACATGTCACCTCCACCTAAGAGTCCTCCGCCGAAGGCGAAAGGAACAGTACCTTCTGATCCTCCAAGACCAAAAGGTCCTACCAGAAGAGGAGGTCAAAATCGGCGTATTCAACGAAAGGCAGCTAGAGAAGCCCACAACAGTGGACTCTGCACCTATGCAGACGCTGCACTTGATCAAGCCAATCAAGGCCAGGCAATTAACGTTACGTGTCGAAACATAGTATCAAGACACATCAGCTCTATCGATGCAACGGTAGAAGCATCCGGCCAGTTTACACAACGCGTGCTACAGCACGTAGAAACATATGATGAAGAGGAACCGTGGAGCACGGAGTTCCTACCAATCGTGGAAGTCCTATTCAGGAACTTAAGCGGCGACGAAACAACTGTCATACATGACAATCAAACGGTAACTATGCCTCTTGCGAAATACACAGACCTCCTCAGAATCGCACAAGCATTGCGAGGCTCTATCCAGAGAGACAAGGAGGAAAGAAAGGAACATCTTGACACCATCCAAGATACTCTATCCAGAGTAGAAATCCTTCTCACAGCACTGAAGGACTCAAGGACAGTCTTTAATCAATTGGTCAATTCCTCACTAGAGATAGAGCGAAGAAATAACAATCTCAAAAATGTCCTCGAGACACTCTTTGATGACCAAAGCTCTGAGGAAGACCAATCAGAATCTGACAATGAAGAAGTCCTAACTCCTTCTGCACCACAGTACTGGAATAGCCTTTATGCCCACGCCTTATCTCCCTCAGGAGATGAAAGCGAAAGATCATGGGCGTCCTCAGACGGACAGCTTGAAAGAAGAAGGGCTGAACGGGCAAGGGCTAAGCAGCCGCAACCGGCAAAAGCCAAGGCAACTCCAGTCAGCTCACAAGCTGCTCCAAAGGCCGAGCCAAAGGCGACAACATCCAACCATGGATATGATACTGCAGATGCCGCCTTCACCAGGGCTGAGAACAGATTATTCGGAATCTTTTCAAGTTCCGAAGAAGACCACTCAGACCCGGATGAGCCACATCCGAATGTCTACGCTCGAGCCTATGATCCAAACCTGGATCCTAATCTGAGATAAGAAAAGTCTCAGAGTTTCACAATAGTGAATCACAAGGCTCTAACAAGAGCACAATGAGTGGCTGCATAATTCGGTAGTAGAACATCATCAGACCTGATCTTGTACAGATGATCTCTCTGACAAACATGCATGAGTGTGTGCGCAAAAGGAGTGGAGTTTCCTCAGCAGTATACTTCAGTGCTATACCTAGCATACTTAATATGCTGTTTTTATAATGAGTCCAAAACTCCGCAACTGTGACAGTGGGCATAACAGTATATGTGTGAATATGCGGCCATGCTTTCGGTAAAAGAAAATTAGTGTCTGTTTGAAACCATAAACCTCTAAAGGGGTAGCTCTAACAGGTACCTACAGCAATGGCTGCATGCTCATACATATACATTCCGCTGCCCATTGGCTCACAGTGGTTTTACCATATTGAGACAAGACAAGCTCTCCTTGCGTAGCAAGACAAAACAACTACTGTCCGTGTGCAGGGCGCTGCCCTTTGATCCTTAGGGAATAAACTGGTCATACACCTCCTTACAAGGAGTATCCCTTGGGGGTGTATCGGCACAAGGGGAGGGGGGGGCAAAGGGGGAAGGGGAGAGGAGGAGGGTGGAGGGAGAGGTGGGGGAGGAGGGGGGGGAATTGATGTGCGGGTACTGCGTCTCTTTCCTGAGGCATCCATGGCAAACTGATCAGCAACTACCAAAAGTACAGCTCATGTACTCAACTTGTAGCCGAAGACCTGCGACAAGTCAGCGGTGAAGTCAGATTCGGGAAAGTCAATCAGATCATAGAAAGTCAGTGGGAAAGTCAGCATTCAGGTTTCGGTAAAGGCATTTGGTAAAGACTCACTGAGAAAGTCAGCTTGCAAGCACGGATATAGAATCAGGGAAAGTCATCCAATGCTTATACAGTCAATCGGGAAAGTCAGCGCCAGAGCTACCTCTGGGAGACACGGCGCCCATAGGGAATGCCGTTGTGAAGCACACTTGACACATCGTGTCGCAGGTCTGATCTGTCGGTGCATACTGTCAGGGAAAGTCAGCAGCTGTCAGGGAAAGTCAGAGGCTGCACGGGAAAGTCAGAACATGCAATCTGAAGTACTACCATAGGACACACACGAATCACTCATGTAAGACTGACATGTGCAGACCCTCACTCATGACTGTCGCATTCACAGGCAAACTCTTGAACAGAAACTGAGCAAGAAACTGACCAATGCAAGCCCTCACTCATGACTGTCGCATTCACAGATAAGCTCTCAAGCTGCCACATGCGTGACCCATGAGCAGCTTTGTGCAGGTACAGGTTCACACGTCTGTGAGCCCATCCAGTCAACATCCATAGCTTCGTTGGCGTGGCTAGGATGCGACTGCCACGCCCCCTGCTGCTTAACTCACTCACATCTCTTGGAAACAGAGTTGGACACACACACACACACACACACACACCTGAACGGCTGAGGCTGCCACCAATTGGTGCTTGTCGGCTGTTTTCCTACCCTGCTACTCACTCTTTTGGTTTCAGCAGCTGCGGCAAGGGAGCGTCACGCGTGCGGTGAGCAGACTCGATCCGTCATTTCAGAAATCTTAAGGAACGCAGCGCAGCCATGGTTTAAGCATACATCTATACATATATGTATACTTCTATTTATGTACATAACCAGTTCTCTCATACCCTACATGAAAGGCTCCGCCAGAGGGTCGGCTAGGTTGCGCGGCTTTGGGAGGCCGATCCCGCCAAGCACTTGAACCTCAGAAAGTCTGTTGGGGATTTGGTTCGGGCAGGGATTAGGATTGGAGTTTACGGGATCAGGCTCTGGAGCTCAAGATTTTCGGCCTGATTTTCGGGAATACGCGCAAGACCGAGGCCCGCATTGTTTTGCCTTCGGCCACGCGCTGACCAAGCCTAGTCCTTTTGCCTACGGTTGCTGGCCCCACTTAGCCTCCCCATCCCGTTTGGGAGGAGTTTGGGGAACGCTTTGCCCCTCGGAGCCTGGTGGGAGCCCTGCCAAGCCTAGGGTAGGCCCAAAGTCATGCAGAACCTCCAAAGTTCACTGTGAAGGACGGCCAAGGGCTTGGGATGCACAAGTTCAGTAAACGACGATCTAGGCTAGACTTGAATCCCGAATAGTGAACCTTCGCCAAAGAGAACTGAAGCCTAAACCACCGAAATCATGAGCAGTCATAGGACTGTTCCTTCATGAGAAAACTTCGGCAGATCGGAGATGAGGCGTTCGAAGGCAATGCCAATTCAGCAGTGCCCGGGCCCCGTCAATTCGCTCTATACCTGCAAAAAATTGAAAATGTTGCTCTCTTGTTCAGCCGCTTGTTCACGGTACCTTCAAATCGCATTTTGCGACCAGATCTGGGCATTCTTCATCTTCGGGTCTATGTTTTGGGCTTACTTGTAGGAGGGTCCTCCCCGGCATCCCAACTCTCTCAGTCGCCGGGATGTGCTGTTGCCTCGGTGCTTCGGAGAGGTGTGTGCTCCGCCACCAGCTCTACCAACCCTGGAACAACAGCCTATAAGGCGTAAGCACCTTGCCATCGAGTTCTAGGGTCATGTATATACGACTTTTGCAGTTTACGTAACTCGGGTGTTTACTGGAAGATATAGTAGGGAGGCTTGCGTATTGAGGGGTATTGAGTGGAGTCTTTGGGACCCCGCAAATCCGAAGCCCCCACCCCTACCTGGACATATCCAGGAGCCTCATTCAAACAACTGCCTCTTACCAGGGTCCTTAATTTACGGAACTTACATCTTCAGGCTAGGAACCTTTGCCAGTCGCAGAATCCTTACCATCGAATGGGGCTGCTCATCGAAACGTCAAACCCCAAGCAAAGAATCCTAGTGCTACGCAGCTCTCTACTGCTGGTATCCCCATGCCAACATCCAACATATACATACATACCTCCATACATACATACATACATACATACACTTTCTAAGTATTGCGGAGGAGCCATGTGCACACTCACCAAACACTAAATCCCTTGTCGTACTTGGTGTGAGAGCGCAGATGATCCAAGTGTCCTTGTGAGCTCACGCCTGCCCAAGCTTACGACTCTATCGGAGATCCAGGCCTGAACCAAACCTGAAGCCCTACAACCCGAAGCCCAAAGACATATACACTCTCTAGGCCTTCCAAGCACTTACACCTGAGGATCCCCAGAGCAGCTTGCCTAAGCCACTGGTTCTGCACGGTGTGGGGTTCTCTAGGGTTCAAGGCTTAAGGCAATTTGGTTTGGGGCAGCATGCCGAAGCATGGCTTATAATTACGTACTGATCGAGCCCCTGATGTTGACGGACCAGAACTCCGCATTACGTCAAGCTTGATAGCTACCCAAAACTATGAAACTCCCATGGTAGATTTCTTCGGCACCAGTGCTCCCCCTCAGAATGCGGCTCGGATGTTGGCCAACAGCTGCGGTGAAGTGGTGATGCCGTGCAAGTTGCCGTCGCCTGAGCTTCGCACACTTGCATTCTTCGGCAGTGCTGCAAACACCCCAGACCTAGAAAGGACCTTAAAGCCTAACTGGCCTGGACCTGAACCCGAAAGCCCGGGCCCAATAAGGAACAACACGCCAGGCCGCTGAACTTCTTCGTTCCAGCAGAACAGAACATGTCACCATCCTCATCAGTATCCTCATCAACATCACCGCCACTGCCGCCAGCACCAGCATCGGCAAGGGCAGCAGCACCACCAACAACAGCAACAAAACAACAGCAGCAGCAACAGCAACAAAAACAACAACGGCAGGCTCAACTTCCGAAGAGTAATTCCAAATCACAAGAGCCTCGAACACCCTGCCGCTGGGTGTTGGACACCTTTTTTGCGACCAAACCCCAAATCCTGAAATTCAAAATACTTAACCGCGGCATGCTAAAACCTGAACTACCCAAGAGAACCACCACAAAATGGCTACATCTAAAAAGCAACCTGAAACCCGACGTTACTAAGCACCGAACCATGAACCAATCAAACTTATGAACCGTATAATGGTAAACCTCAAGCCCAAAATGGACTAAACCCCACATGCAACGTAAAACAACCTCAGACCTAAAAATTCTGAGCCGTAAGCCCTAAATCCTTGAAGCCCAATTCCAAAGTTACTGACCCGAAAGCCTTCCTACTCTCCGCCGGGGTCTGGGCCGCTCAGGTCAGCCAGAGCGACAACCAAGACCTGCAGAAGCTGGAGGGATCAGGGGAGTTGCAAAGTAGGTGGGGGGTTTGTGGTTTAGAGTTGTTGGCTTCCGGGCTTTGGTGTTGAGGGTTACGTTTTGGGTCTACATGGTGCATGGGACACAGTAAGTTGGTTAGAAGCTGGCCTATGTAGTCGGGACGACCTCAATTAGGAAGAAGTAGGGTTGTGCACATCGGCCGAATTCAGATGTGGGCCTAGGGCAACCAACAGCATGCTGACTTCCGAAACAAAACCGAAGGACTAAACATGCTGCAACTTGGTGCCCGTGCGCTGCCGAAGGGCGTCCACGCGGCCTCCTTGCGAGACCACGCCCGAAGCCTCCATGGCGGGCTACCTATCTGTTCGTGGATCTATCAATCGGTCATCTACATTTATCTATGTATGCGTGTGTATGCACAGAGAATGTGCACGAGACAAATCACGTCTGCATGCATCTATGCGTGTCGCACTCAGCAGTGTGTAAGCTCTCGTCCCATGAAAAGAGAAGTGAGTCGGAAAACCGTGTCCCTCAAGGCACGTGGATCAAAAAAACACCCCGGAGTGAGAAGCCCCGGCACAGGATGCGGCTTCTGGGGCTAAGCCGCCCCGGCGCAGTCCAAATATGCGGGAAATCGGTGCTGCCAGTCACAGGAGGACTTACGGGGGCCCCTTGCTGAGCCGACTTCGGGGAAACGGCGAAGAATGGCCCAGGCGTTCTCCCTCTGCAAGGTCACGCTCAACGACTGCTCCAAGCTGTCGCCAGGCTTTGACCGCACCGCGGCCCCAGCCCCCACCAGTGGCTTCGGCCACGAGCGAACAAACTGCAGCCCCTGGCCGCGGCACAGAGCATCGGTGTCCTGGAAAGAGCGCTTGCGATCCTGATAGCTGGCAGCGGCTTTCCCGGCATGAAGCTCCGACGAGGCCACGGAGCCGCTCTTGAGGCCACTGGTCACGGCCAGGTCGAACGCGGCGGGCCCACGGACGCCCCAAGCAGTGTGTAAGAGTTCGCGAAAGACTCCGAAGACACCACCAAATAATGTTGACAACACAATAGCGAATCAAAGCTGAACATCAGCGATGTCTGCAAGCTTTCGCACACATGCAGAAGGGTATACCTGTACCTGTATGTATGGTGTATTCAGACCTACGCCACTCGGTACACAACTTAAGCTCGATTCTTTACGATCGACTCGACACTGATCCATTACTAAAGGTTTTCCTGGCCTCTGCGTGTCCCCCTCATGTACGCCAATTGAGCGGACCATTCGGGTTGCGCTTGAGGGATCCAAGGTATTCATTCAGCGGTTTAGAGGCTTGGGCTAAGGTCTACAGGCTTGCCAACATCCTAAACCCAACACCCCAGATCCCGCTTTGACGGAGGGACCAGGAGGGACCACTCCTAAGCTCCGGTGTAGGACGCCTGAGCTCGGACGGGCTTCCATGTTCTCCGAATCAGGTTTGCTGGACCTCCGACAGTCTCGAGCTCAAGCCTACCGACGCCAAGTCTCAAGCCCAACCAGCCTTAAACTCCAAACCAGAAGCCTCGAAGCCTGAATTGCAGGAGGGGCAAGGGCAAACTACGTGCTGCTGCAGCTACCTTCTAGTCGGCCCTGGTATCTCTTACTGGGGGACAATGGCTTTGCGGAGGGGCTCACCCAACAACAGCCGAAATGTGGCACTAAAGTCTCAGCACCAAGGGTGGTTCAGGAGTTTTACGTTTGTTTAGGGTTCACCTAGTTCGTAAAATTTTCAGCCCTGAGTGGTCTGACTCAAATCTTGTGGAGCTACCCTGCACACCCCGCGCCTAAGTGCCAAAGCATCACCTTGCCGAGGACCCGTGAAGTAGACCTCGGATACGGCTTAGGGAAGGCTTTAGGGCTTAGGCCATGTTAACCCGCTGTCCGTGGCCAACAATACGAACATGACTTGCATGGCTTTGTGCTTTGCTGTTGTTGTTGCTGTTGCAGCAGCTGCAGCTGCTGTTTTTTTTTCGTTACTGATATTCTTCCCCTTGTTGCTGTTTGGTGGTGGTGGGCGTGGCATGCGTGGCAAGTAGAGGCATCTGCGCGGCGGCCGGAGCGGCATGCTAGAGCAGTCAGAGTCATGGGTCTCGGCTTAGAGCGTTTCAGGTTAAACCCCCTTTAACCCTAATGTGCACAACACCCTGCAAGCTGTCGGGCAAAAACATGATTAGGCTTCAGTCTGGACGGTTTAGCTTGAAACGGCGAGGCATTCCGTGCAAAGCCACCGGAACCAAGGCTCATGCGCCTTTTTCTATATTTCGCACTCATCTCTCTCTCTCTCTCTCTCTCTCTTCCCGTGCACCGCTGAGCAGAGGCACGTTTGTCTTCCTTCTGCTCCTTTGTCGGTGGTATGACAGTCTGTGTAGCATCTTTTTGATCACTCGCAACTCGGTGTTTAGGAGTTTAGGCCACGAGCAAGCACTGTAGCATTGGCAGCAAGGTATCTTTCGGGCCTCGAAAGTGGATTTCCGCCAATCTGCGGTACTCTCTGTGTTGCATATCAGACGATTTTGTGCGTCGTTCCACGCAATTGGCAACGCAAAAGACCCATCATGTAAGGACATCTGCATCCACGTCGGGGCATCGAGGCTGAAACAGAGCAAACTTAAACCCGAAACGTCGACAATCTAAAACCCTCAGAGACAAAAGCTGGATCGTCATTGCAAGTGAGCTGCGCGTGCTGGCTGCTTCCCATTCCCCACGTGTGCCGGAAACCGCTGGACCTGTGTCAAAGGCAACAAGTTCTGAGATGCGGAAGTGCCTGATTTAGGATCTTTTTCACTCCAAGTAGCCCAACAACAAAAGTGTGCGGCATTACTTGATAGCAAGAAACATATTCACAAGAGTGATGGCAACAATACTGATTGGAGCAGCCAAAATATGTTAAACATTCTTCATCCATCTTGAACCCGAACTCCTGAACCCTGGACTCATCCCTGTCAACACAAAACCCATGCCCTGAGCCAACCCTTGTGGCCTGGCTGGCTGGTACCTGAAATAAAGGGGAGCCTGTCAAAGAAAACTAAACCAAAGCTTATAGCAGGTTTGCCTAACCCCAAGTCCCTAAAACCTCAAGCCACGACATCGCACGCTTAGGAAACTTCGTCGAGCAGGGAAGCGTTGGAGATCACGGCTTCTCCGGTGGTCACAGGCACAACCCGCAAATACATCTTCCGCCCGTCGATCAACGGTATACATAGCGACCCTTGAGCTTGGGAAGGCTCGCTGTGAGTTTTCATGACAGGCTTAGCGGGATGAAAAGCCTTGGGGTTTACAGCATTGGAACATGGCTTAGCGATGATCAGTGCTGGTTCCCGGTAATCTTTCGGAATTTATTGTGATGAATCGCTTTCGGCATTTCTGGAAGTAGTGGGGATGCTGAGCTGCCGGCACATCGCTCGGTCTTTGCGAGTATCGTCGAAGGGCCGCTAGCGTAAACGAAGGACATACGCCAGAGCCTTCCTTCCTGGCAGTCAAGGAGTCTCTCGGTTTAGTGTTTCTCTTCTGAAGTACCACTAACTTCTTGAGACTTCGTAGGGTTTGTTTTTTGGGCCGTAGCTTTCAGGATTTCAGCGGTCAGGTGATAGAACCGTGCTTTGGGCGCAGATTATCAAGTTTTTTCAAAAAGAGATTTTAACCTCGGTAGACAAACAGGGCTCACCGCAGTTTGAAACTAGAGATGCCTGCGGTAACCTGCTTGCCACAAAGACCGAAGCAGTTGTGCAAGACAATGCCCTTGTCGACCAAAGCTACTCCTCCTCCGCGCGGGGATTGGCATTGGAAAAGCGGCCCTAACTAAAGTTCACACATGCCCCGACTGAAAAAGTTCCAAACTATCCCCAACCTGCCGAAACCCTTGAGCCTGAAACCAAAAACCCTGAACCCACGGTGTGGTCATGAGAACGCTGCAGGTTTGTTGGATGGGATGCTCTGGACTACGTTCCTTTTCAGCTGTTGCAGCAGAGCCCAGCATGAGTTAAGATCCGATTACTTACATCTTGAACTCATGGACAATCCCTTCATGGGAGCCGGTTTCAACGCGTTCAAGTTGATGTGGAAACCTCCGAAAGCCCAATGCCCGGCCTTCCCAGAACCACTGCAGGTCTCAACAGCATCCCAAGGCCCGAGGTCGTGCTTTGCCTCGGCTTGAGGGGCTCACAGCTTTAACGGGTCCCATCCGTGAGTTTAGGGTTTACGGATTTTTCGGGTATGGCAATGGATAAGGGTCGGGACAGTGGTGCCTGGATGGGCTTCGGGCTTCAAGCTCAGGCTTGTGGCTGGAGGGTTTTTGTGGGTGGTTCCGGGCTTACCGGGACGTGTTGTTGAGGTTGTGATATCTTATATCATACTTTGCTTGACTACATCAGCATTCCCGACGATTTTCGAACATGATGGTACTCTTGTATCTTCCAGTGTAGGTGGCGTAGTGACCAGACGTTTAAGATTTCGGCATATGGGTTAACCAAAATAATGCTTAAGCCTTCGCTGCCGATCAAGATGCTTAGGCTGTGTGTCATAGGTCATAGGGCTCATGGCTTCGGGTTATCATTGGTCTATGAGAAATGGTTCGTGTGTGCGCGCTTGTATTATTTGTTGAAGACCTTCGGCTGCAAAGCACGGCCGACATGAACACAAAACAGTAAAGTGGCCAGAAACCATACTCAAAGCCTGAGACCAGGAACATCGAACCCTGAAGCCCAAAGCTCGTGGCCTTTTCAAGCCCTCCCCCCTCGCTCCCCACTCTTACACTCCTCAACCCGAAACCTTGAAGCCCTGCAGCTTGAGATCCGAATCTGCAAGTCCGAAACCTTAAGTTGCTAAAGCCCTACCCCCTGCAGCGCTTTGAAGCCGAACAAGACGTGATCTTGTTGCAACGCATCTCCGGGGTCCCAAACCACTGCGACCTCGTCCTTGTCAAGTGGTATGCATTGCAGCTCCAGGCCTGACTGACTGTATGTTGCAAGTCTTAAACGGGACCTTATTGAATGGGTTCAGAAGTCTGGGTAAATAAGGGTTATCTGAGGGGGTCTCACGGATCTTAAATCCGGTGCGAGTAAGATCAGGGCTTCTGGGAGATTGTGTGTAAGGTGTTCACAGGATTTCACAGGGTCTTGGAGGATCGCTTGCGCCACTCCCTTTAACTCTTTATTGAGGATTTGGATTTAAGGTCTTGGGATTGGGGCTACATGTTTAGGATTTACTTTTTACTTCGGGCGAAGCATTTGGATTTGCTGAGTCTATTTGGGCCATGCTGGATGCATATCGACCGCTGCCTTGACAAAAAGCCAGAAGACCATGTATGTATCAGATCACTGATCATAACCTTTAATCTTTGATTTTGGAGTAAAAAGCTGTCTGCTCATCAACAGTTTACGACATCGTGCACTGGGCCATCTCGATTCTGAACGAGGACGCTGTCAGGTTGAGGGCTAAGTGGCTCTAGTGCTCCCGACTCTGGGATTGCGACCGTATGCATCATAACCCATAGATGCTTACATTATAGATCAATCCTCTGAGCCCTGGGGGCTGTGCCTGCAAGCCCCAACTTCAGCAAAACCCCAATACCAAACCCTATGTGCGCATATCTTGAACCCTAAAGCCTACACTCCTGTACGAAGCAACTCTCAGCCGAAAGTCCAAACTTTGAGTCCAAACTCCGGAAGCTACATACATCCTCAGCTCCCGCTGCACCCCAAAATCTAGACTCTAAGCTTTGAACTCTTCGCCCTAAACAGCACGCCCGGCATCCCGAAGCCGCACAAGATCTCACGATTAGGGCTTTCTATCGCCCTCGCAAAGGTTCGTTGCGGTTCGTTCTTATATCCCAGGTATCGGTATACGGTCATGGATCCCAGGAGCCCCATCAAATTGGAACTCACGCGCTTGGGGTCTGTAATTGCAAAAAAATTCATTACTTGGGGTTGTCAATAGCATAAGCATCGCCGCAACAAGCCCCATGATCCTTTAAACGCACATCTAAATTTCACCCACACGGTCCCCGCTGCGACCCACGCGTGCAACAGAGGCATGTCTGGAAGGATCACAGGCTCCCCAGCCTTACGGGTTTTGCTTTAGCATTGAGGGTTCAGGGCTGAGGGTCTGCGATACGGTTCATTGGGGTCATGTCACCGCGGCTTTACAGCGGTGTTCTTCGGGTTGTATGAAGGTGTCGACATGCATTTATTGAGTTCAAGACTCTCGCGTTGGGGTAGCGGTGTTGGGGACTTGTGTTGAGTCTAGGGTTTCGCGAGGGCTTGTATAATAGGGTTTAGGATCTTTGGGCGTTCTTGGTGGCTGCAGGGTTTGCTGCCCCAGAAGGCTTGGGGTCTTTCTGCGGTCACTTACGGTTCAAGCGAAGGTATCAATGCCCATCGAAACAAAGCATGATGCAGACAGGAACGCCAACAGACTTGCAATTGCAAATCTGACCGACATGACAGCACACACCAGAAACACATGCGTAATTATATATATATATAGAGAGAGAGAGAGAGACATGCAGATAAGTGCATGCTGAGTTCTGTATTTTGTATACAGGTGCTTTATGGTGCTTTCTACTCTCTCCCCCCCGCCCGCCCACACACACACACACACACACACACACACACACACACACACACACACACACTACTCTCTCCCCCCCCCCCACACACACACACATACACACACCTGTTCACATGTGAATGCACATGTGTGTGTAAACACAATGCGTATATATATATATATATATATATATATATATATATACATATACACACATACATATACATATATACATACATACATATATATACATACATATATACATATATATATATATATATATATACATATATATATAGCATCTACACACACGTTCAGCAGCGACTTCTTCTCTACAATGGTTACTGCTTGAAACAGATACAATGTGCAGAACAACAAGCCAACAAAAAAACAACAAAGCATTCCGGTCAAGATTGGCCAAGGAGCAGAGGCAGAACGCTGGATGGCCATCCACTCCGGGAGCACAGGAGACGATGCCTGGCACTCTCTGTTCGGGCTGCAACTCGGAGGTCAAGTGACATGTTTACAGTCGTTTCAGCTACACGAGTAGAATGAAGTGGTGGTTGCCGGGGTGTGGGTAGGGTTGGCGCTGACGAACTTTAAGGTCTCGCGGAGTAAAGCTCAAGGTCAGCAGGTGGATCCGAAAGGTTGTATCTTATCCCTCAATCGCAGCGCACGCCTGTGGAGCTAGTGAGCATGTGAACACACAAACTTTCGCCCAACGGAAAATCTGTAAACCAAGAGCACACCCCATTGCCTATTGCTCATGACAGAACACCTGCAGTATCCAAAGTGTTAATTTCAGCGGTTAGGGGACATAAGCTCGTGCAAGTCACCGGTAGCCTCAGTCGCGTCAACTTGGCACTCGGAAGCTGAAGGCATTACAGTGCTTGGGGGGGTTCACGGTTTAGTGTCAGGATGTGGTGCTTCGGTGTAGGGCAGTGTAGGGTTCAAGGTGGTGGGGCCAGCAGGCACCAAAACGGAAACTGTCCGTCCGTGCACGGCCGACCTAGATCTGGCCACTCCGGACGTCGGAAGGGCGGCTTCATCACCTGTGCGGCGTTTGTGTGGGGGCTTGGCAGTGATGACAGTACGTGCTGCAGGTGTCAGTCAACAAATATGTTGACTGCGCTAGGGTGGTGATGATGATGGTGAGGATGAAGAAGCTGACGACGTTTCTTTACCATGCTTGCCATGGTGACTTTTGGAAGCTAGGATTCTTCAGGCTGCTGCTGCTTGTACCACGAAGAAATCCCCAATGTCAAACAATATTGTCAGGTACCCTGCTGCAGAAGTCCAACCATTGAAAAGCGCGAATCAACAACGACCAGGAACCAGTAGTATCAAAATACAAAGGGTTAATAATGACAGTAGTCAACCCAGTGATAGTATCAAGGAGGGGGCTTCGACGCTGATGTTGCTTGCAGGGCTTGCGGACATTCGTTGGAAATCTGAGGTCCTTCTGGGAATATAGCTTTCCGGGTTAATGTAGCACTGGGATGGGTTGGGGGCCCCCTCCCCGCCCAAACAAATTCGGCGTCCTGAATAGTGCGCCTCCGCAGGCCCCCGGATACCCCCGGCGGCGGGATGCGGGGGTGGGGGCTGTAGACGGAGACAAGTGTGGGGATTGGGCCGGGGAGGGAGATATGTCGCTGGCCCTGTAGAGGAGCAGCAAACAGTGCCAATGCAGTAGTTGCACATGCAGTGCTAAAGGCCATCGGTACCCAGAGCTGTTTAGGAGGGTTTGCGGCCCGAAAATCTCGAAACCAGGCCCAATCACACCAAAATGGCTGAAAACCATCGGAAGGCTAGACTTTCCCTTCATCCACTTTACCCCACAATCGACAAAGCGTGTGGACTGGTCAAGTAGTACAGTAATAGTGCAGTGGTAGTATAGTAGTAGTAGTACAGTAGCAGTACGGTAGTAGTACAGTAAGTAGTACGGTAGTAGGAGGGTTAAGGGGGCCCTAAAATCTCGAAACCAAACCCGGATCACTGGTCAACAAAAAGCATTACTGAGTCATTACTGAGGACGGTCCAAAATATGACAAAAAAGTGACTATGCAGCCGGGAATATGCATTAAAGAAGGCATGCTAACTAAACCCAGTGCCACAATGAGAGCTGAGTTCTTCCAAGGTGTTGATCTGATGATGTTAACTGTAGCCTTGAAAATAACTGACATGCTTCCCTTGCTGGTTACATGACAAGAGGGCGTGAATATTTGTTACCTTGGGGCTCCCCTGCCTAATGTAAGTAAACATGAAGCTTTCAATACCCCAGTCGAATCATCCAAGCCGTAAGCCCTCTAGGCCGCTGTAGAACACTCGCAGGCCCCCTCTAAGAAAGCCTTTGTTAAGAACCCTTGCAGAGACCCATAGGCCCTTAAAGAAGATCGAGTTCTTTCGCAATGCACGGGGCTTTGGGGTCTATCAGACGATACCATGCTATAACTATTTAGTGCTTCTAAGGGGGTCGGCAGCCCGAGGAAGCCTTCGATGCAGCTCTGGGCTTCCGCCCGGGAACCACCGGAGACTTCGCCTTGATGAACTGAGTGCCCGGGGCCTGAAATCAAGAGTCTGCAACTGCTAATGCAAGATCTTGACCAGGGCTCTGGCGAGATGTTACTGTTGCAGGGTCCCATCAGCGGGGTCGATACACCAAATAAGCAATATATGTGTTATATATACACAGAGATACATATGTACACATAAGCATGTAGATGCACATCTACATCTACATGTACATGCGCATGACCTTACATGCGTACATACATACATCCATACATACTTTGCATAAATACATACATAACTAATCAAATAGATGTGTGTGTATATATATATACATATGATATACACACACACATACATATAGACATACATACACATATACACATGTGTATGTATACATATATATATCTCGCATTTCTCGCATTTGGGGCATAGACTCCATGTTGGTTGCAGCCCTTTGAGCTTGCATTAATTAAGGAGAGGTGAAACGTTGGAGCATTTGAAGGGCACTGGTCTGAGCAAGCAAACGGGTACCGTCCCTGTGGAAGCAGAGAACCCCAGGAAGTGCAGAAACTGCCTGCAAGTCAAGCTCGGCAGACTCATGGACGGCAAGAAGGCTTGCAACACCCAGAAGCGAAAGACGGAGGAAGAAGCGTACTAAATCACCCGCGAAGACAGCAGCGGCGATATTGTCAGGGAGTGTATGCAGCTTCTGTTGCGCAGTCAGTGTCCGTCCAAGCGTGGGGAGACCCCTGACATCCAAGACAAACGCAACTCCATCAAAAGGCCCTTCAAAGAAAGTAATGGGGCACCCACGCCTGATACGGTGAAGGCACTCGGTATGACCATAAACGATGACATTGTCACCATCAACTGTGCCCTGACTGGTCCGTTCCTCCGGACGGACCCAGACAATCGTGGAATCAGACTCGAAAAGGTCTGGTTGTCGAATAGCGACTGGTGACGTATCGAGCATGCTGAGGATGTTGCCAGCGTCACGAAACGAGCACGTCTGCACCTGCCTGTCAGCGGCTTGTGGGATCAGCCAAAGGATCAGGTCCGTGGAACAAAGCCATTCTGCACACGCCTTGAGTCGATGGCACCCCTCATGGGCATCGAGGTGGTGTCTCCAGGCAATCACAGTCGCTCGAAGTCGATCAGTGGGTGCACAAACGCAGGAGAAGGCAGTGCGGACCCTCCGCCAGAGCTCAGCTTCAGTGGCATTAAGGAGTCCCCCGTCAAAATCGAGGAGGTGAAGGCAATCCCATACTTCAGCGATGGGACATAAGTCCTGCGAAGTCGGAAAGGCTCCTGGAAAACGGAGGCAGGGACCCTCGGCTACGAGCGGAGGGCAGAGTCCTGACTGCTTGTCGTCATCTTTGCGGCTGCCAACACCAGGCACTATGTCGCATGAGTGTCCCGTTGCTTGGAGGCTCTCACGACAGGACGCACTATAGCGCAAATGCCGACACAACCTGACATTGCTGGCATAGGTCCGCAGGCATGCCTGGCATTGACGGCCGGCCAATATCCCTCGGCCCTGGGCACATCGTCCATGTCGCTTGAATGCATGGACTGCCCAGCTCTGCCGGGACTTAAAGATGCGCTGACAGGGCGCGCAACCATGCACCGCATCAGCGTGATCAAGCGTGGTGCCATGCAGAAGCGCGCCATGGAGTTTGAGCTGGCGTACGAGAAGGGCATGATGTTGCTGGAGCGCAGCAAGCCTGGCCTCTTGTTGGACAGTGTAGGCTGCGGCCTTTCGCAGTAAGCGCTTCCATCGACCCGGTGCTTCCTGCAGAAGGACGAGCCAGTGCCGCCATGCGACTGTCCAGTCACCGTATTGGACTCCACCATCAACAGCCTCCCATAGCCAAGCGAGTGAGTCACGCACCGAGGCTAGCCAGCCGCCTTCCCAGTGGGCGAGGGCCCAAAGCTGGGGAATGCCGAGTCTGACAAAGAGAAGAAGGTGCCGCAATCTATGGATGTGGAGCTGGGCTGGGATGGACAGGATCCCGACAAAGGCGAGAACCTGGTCACGACCAGCGTGCAAAGCAGTGTCGAAATCCCACGTGGGTCTGCACATGTGACATGCCATAAGTTCCTGTGCCGAACTGACAGCAGACAAGACCTTGGGACCCGGCAGAGGCCAAGTGCCAGCTCCGTGCAGGAGAACAGACAGAACAAGTGACGTGAAGAGGCTCGCCTTTGCTGTCACCGGCACGGCCGGGGATCCGAAGACCTGTCGCTTGCGTTTTTGGAAAGCCTCGTGGGCCTGCGCGGCACGCGCCCGGATTTCACGAGAAAGATCCCCAGTACAATGGAGTATCCCTCCAAGGTGTTTGTAGCTAGTGACGAGCCGAATCTTGGCCTCCGGCCACAGGGCGGCAGGGATAGGCAGGACTGGATCTTTGTCTCGGAAGAGTGCGGCCCGTATCTTTTGAGAATCCTTACCAGTAGGCACGAGGATGAGCTCAGTTTTACCCCGTTCTAGGTTGGGGAGCATGGCTCTGGACAAGCAGGCATCGAGCAAGACGCCCGAGGCGGTACGTGCCTTCTCGACAATGCCAGCTGCAGAGTCGGACATCAGCATCAGAGCAAGGTCGTCCATCCATGTGGCATCTGTCAGATCGACCTTCTCTGTAGATCCTGTTGTGCTGGCTGACCGGTCGAAGATGTAGTCCCGCATGGAGGTGGTGAAGGGGAGTTGCGTGCAGCAGCCTTTGTGCTTTAGCTCTTGTGTGAGGTCGGCAAGGACCTGTGAAAAGAGAAACGAGAAGATGACATCTGCACAGTTATCCCCTGGGCGGCTGCCTATTCCTGTGCGAATCAGTGTTTGACCCGACCTGAACCTGAACCAGGTAGCATCAAGTATTTCCGTCATGGATGCCGCCAGCCACGGAGATGCACCACTTTCCGCGAAGATCGACTGTTCCTTCAAGTGGCGATGAAGGGAGTGCATGACTCCCGGAGGGAGTTTAACAGTCGCCGCGATGTGGGCAACCGTGCTGTCATCAACCGTCGTGCCTGTGAGCAGAGGCCGGCAGACACGATAGAAGGCCTCTTGGAGGTCAAGAAAGAGGACAGCAAATGACACTCTGTGCTTCTTTGCCGCTGTGATGAACATGCGGACTGAATGTGAGACTGCCGTGACGGGGCAGGCAGGTAGCCCGCCAAGTTGCAGAGGCGATGCCACTGAGGCCAGTGGCGGCACACACCTAGCTCTAAAGAGTCGATGAAAGGCTTTTCCCGTTGTCGCCGAGATGAGCAGACCTCGATGGGATGAGCAGAGCGCCGGCGAGCTCTTGCCTTTCCAGGCAGCCTGCAGGCTCCCTCCTTTGAACTGGACCGGCTCCGAAATCCTGAAGCTCATCTTGAGCAGGATGGGGTATAGAGCAGATGATGCATCGGCGGCAGCAAAGTGGAGAACTTCTCCTGGAATGAGGTCAAGTCCGGCTGAGCGTCCAGTAGCTGTGGCACGGAGGGCCGTCTCGAGCTCAATCCGCGTCGGAAGCTCAGAGCGGCCAAGTTCGAGGGCGTCAACATCCCTAACGAGCTGTTGACGCATGCAGCTGGTTGCGAGTTCACGGGGGGTGACTCGTTGCCCATCTTCTATCCCAGCAAAGTGGTCAATCCAGGCATCCTCAACCTCTTCAGGTGTGGTTGCAGGAAGTCCGTCTGAGCGGAGGACGAGTGGGAGGCCGTTTCGCGTCTTGGCGCGCCTCTTGGGTGGGCCGAGGATAGGCTTGAGTCGTCGGACTGCCTCAGCAGGGGGGCAGCGGGTGGCAAGCTCAGCTGTGTCAACGATGTGCCGTACAGTATCTTGACGTATGGACTGCCGGAGGACTCTCTTGGTCTCCTTGAGCTGTGCAGCGAGGTCACCAATGCGCCGGTGTTGCAAGGCGACAGCGAAAAGCGAAGAAATTTCGCACGCCACATAGCGCAGGCCTCTCCTCCACGCCCTGAACGGTGCTCTGAGGATAGCATGAGAGATAAAGTCACGTAGTCTGACAACCTGTCTGCGGAGCCAGACCCGGCGTTGTCTCAGCTGCCAAGTGTGGGTCCCGAAATGCGATGAGCGGCAGTGTCCCCTTCGGTTGGGGAACGTCGCGGTTAAGGCATCCTGTAGATAGGCTTCTAGTTGTGCCCAGTGTCGATGAACATTCACACACCAGGGCACCTTCGGCGCATTGCGCCAGATGTCAGCCAATGCCTCCTGTCCGCTCTGTGTACCCATGGCTGCACGATCGACCTGGAGACCTGTGCGGGCATTACGCTGCATGGCACCTGCCTGTGCATAAACCTCGAGCTGTGGGGCAAAGTGGTCAGTGTGGCCCTGTCCCCAATCGAGCTCGTACTGCACACAAGAAGCCCCCGGCCCAACGCGCCAGGAGATCGGGAGCAAAATGTAATCAATGCGTGATGACGAAGCCCCACTTGGTGAGACCCAGGTAACGGAGGAGCCACTGTGAACTTCTGGGAAGGTAGAGGGAATCCAGAGATCCTGTGAGTGCAAGATTCGGAGAAGACCCTCCGGCACGCCACCCTGTCCCGGGATGGTCAGTGTCCCTGCGCGGTGCGGGATAGGCTGCGTGAAGTGGGTATTTAAATCACCCATGATGACTACTTCGTGGGTTTGTCCAAATTGCTGGAGGCGATCGTGCAGGTTGGCCCACCAGACGGCTCTTTGCGGATCGCTGGTGGTGGGGGCGTGCACGCAGACAAACAAAACCTTAGCACCCCCCCGAGAGAACCTTACAAAAAGGGTCCTAGGGTCGGCGAAGGGTACAAGGAAGTCATTTGGGTGAAAGAAGAGGTCAACCGACCCCTCGCCTGTGAATGGCAGGAGGCGGCTGAACCAACACTCTACTCCGTAGTTGCCTGCCGAGTCCTTACCCGAGCAAAAGCGTAGGTGGGTTCTTGAGCTGATCGTCTCGGAAGCAGCGACACGCGTTTCTTGCAGACACGCAACATGAATGCCGAGGTCATCAAGTTGCTCTCTGAGAAAGGCAGCCCGGCCCTTGAAGCCCTCATGGCATGGCGTATTCTCTCCGG